TACCTCTGAAATATATCTTTCCTTGAAATTTCTAAATGTAATTACTCTTTGAAACTTAAATTCAAATTTGCCTGTGATGTTGCATTAGTTTTTCTTCTGTTCTACATATGTTTGACTTGCGGAACATTCTATTACTAAAATGTACTTGATGAAACCATTTTGTTTTTCTAAATATCATGATTGATCCACCTTAGGGATCAAAAATATGTTTCTAGTTCAAAAACCTTGAAATATCACCTCCATCACTGCAATCTCTAAAGCATTTCTTGTTTAAATTAGCATGACATTATTCCTTTGAGGAATTATGTTTTACATCTCCCCTCTCCAGTGTAGTCAGCCAGCTCACACTGAATGGACATGGTTTCTTCCCTTAACTACAAGCCAATCTCACAACAGACAAACCTTAAATTAGAGCCTACAAGTGGTTGCACTGTGGAAGTGGGGCTTCAGAAACCGCCCTCATTTTACAGAAACTGTTTGCAAATGTGCAGCAGCAGAGCACCAAAGCAAAACATTGTGCAGTGTATGTCACCTTAAATTGGGTGGATTGGATCAACTCTTTCCGTGAATGTGTCATGTGTGAGAATAACACCATTACTGGAGGTGTGTGCCTGAACTGGCTGGCAGGGACTTTGATGGAGACAATTAAACCTAATCTCACTCCTTAATTAGTGTAATTTCTGCTCTGAAACCATTTTATCAGAATCAATCCCCACTTGTATAAAGCTGATTTTAGCTTTGGACTGTTAAAATTTTCAGTGAAAATAACACACCATTAATTATCTCATTTGTACAGAAAACGCTGCACTCGAGTAGAAGCTACTTAGCTTATGCAACTTTGGAAACTTTCTCACTTCATCGCTACAACATAATTAAACCCTTAAAAAGGCAGAACAGTCGGTGGAAAAAAGGCCTGCAGAACAAAATACTGCCAGGCTTTCTGTATATATTTATGTCATTGTAATCTGTGCTTTAAATATGACAAGAACATAATTTACTTACATGCAGACAGTGATAAAGGTTTACAGTACACTGCAAAGCCCATGGCTGATCACTGCTGAGGGGAGACAAACTACACTAAAGATAATCTGATATGGATTGTGCAGAGGTGTCTGTCCTAGTAAACACAGAGCAATGGATTTTTAGTCATGATGCTCAAGTGATGCTAGTGTTAGTTTGCTGGTATCTTGACAACTGTTGTATGGACTGTCATGAATGTTTGTACAAACATTGATCACTTCTCACGGGATGAATTCTATTGATTTGGTGATCCTCTAACTCTTCCGTTAGTGCCACCATGACGTTGACATTTTTGCTTTTTAGTGTACACATTCTGGAGGGGTTATCACAAAATTTCGAACAGACATTCATATCCGCTTCAAGTTCAGTTGTATCACTTTTGATGGCCCCATAACTTCCCATTTAATGGCACCATTAGATCAGAAATTTAATTTGTCCACTTCTTTGGTTTATGACCAAATTCCACCAGTGGTGGTAAATATTCTGGTCTATGATAACTGAAAAGAAGCAAATTCAATTAAAAAAAATCATCAATTATGGCCATAAAATAACTGATTTGTTAGAGGGCTTAATAATAACAGGTTCATAGGCCTACAGCTCTGAGACTTAAGGGAATTGTGCATTATAAATGAAAATATCTGGAACAGTGTAGTACTAACTATAAACACGTGTTATTTGCTGTGGCCGCTGCTTCATTCCTGCAGATCCACCACCATGGCCATCAGGACCAATGGTTTGCATTTGGAACATAGCAATTACTAAAACAACAAAATAATTAAGTCCCTCTGAGCACACGTCTTATCTGAATTAATAGAAGAAGAGATTGAAGCTTCAAATGACACCAACATGGCACTGCACGGCCCGATTATGCACACTTCCTAAGAAGCAGTGAGAAAAGAGCTTTGTCGTCATTATAGTCTTACTTTACAATGTGTACAATTTGTGCGTTGTGTTCTTTGGGCTCTCAGTTTTTCACAGTTATTATTTTTGTGAGAATTGTACATGGAGATTGAAAATTAGACAGCAACTACTCTCTGCTGTCTGCCAGAACACTTTGATGACTTGATATCACAATGAATACATTTTTAGCACTGAATAACTGCAGCAAGACAAAAATTGTTTGCTTTTTACTTAAAGGTTTCATTACATTGAAGTTTATCAGATTTTGACATTACACTAAATTGCACCACGTCTCTTTTTGCTTTAATATAATCTGTTTTACATTTTGTGTTCTTTCTAGTGCCTAACATGCAAGGGTGGGCAGACATGTTGTACCTGCAAAGATGCATAAATATCCTGTCTCCTTTAGAAACCTGCAGTGTGTTTAATCAGAACTTTGGTGGCAAAGTGGTGTGAGACAGAGGTCAGCAGACAAGCTCTACTGATGCTGAGGCAAGCTGATGCTGGTGCAACAGAGAAAAGGTGGAGAGGAGTGATTAGGTGTGAGGAGCAGTCATTTAGGAAGACAAACAGCTTCATTTAAAGCTAGCCAAGCACAGAGACAGACTCTCCCATTCTCACATGGGCTGAAATTTGCATGTTTTCACTCACAGGAATCCAATACTCATCCTCACTCTCTTCATCTCATGTCTCAAGTGACAGTAGATTATTTAAGGTCTCGCCTGAAGAGCTGATGCCTCTGATTTGCTTTTGAACACATTCCCTCTTTGCTTTTGCTGAAGTAATTTCTCTTCTGGTCTTGATCTGCAGCCGATATTGCCACAGCCGTACTTTACTTATCTATGGTATATAAGGGCTGTTTGCTGTTTTGTTTGCATGCATGCAGACAAGCAACCACGGGCAGAGATAGCAGTCATTTCATGATTATTATACAGTAGAAATGCCAATCTAGCTACCATCACATTTTGATTTGATCATAGGGTCTTAGAATTACAATTCAGTGATGGTTTTAAAGCTGGGAATAAAAAAGTTTTGAGTTTAGCAAGCAAACAGATCATGATGATTATCTGCCAAACATTCCCAGCAGTTCTACATATTCTGCAGACTGCCATAAAGGAATCTTTAGCAGAAAATATTTTTCTTGCAGGTGAATATATATAAGCCTGCCTCTGCCATCCATCCATCATTCATTTCTTTTTTGTTCTTTATGTTGTTGTACCCAGCTTGTGCTTTTAGGGGGTTTATATATACAGTATATACTGTATATATATTTATATACATTCATGTGAAAAAGAGTGGTACAGTTTGTAATTGATCCAGGTCATGTGGGTTTGTAGGAATGCAGCTACCCAAAAGTAGCCTCTTGTATCCATGTGGGTAGGTGTTACTACCATTATCCTGGTAAATCAGTGCCTACGGTACATCACTACACTTGACATAAAGTGTACTCATGCATTTAGCCAAATAATAAATATTTAGCACTAGGACACTTGTTTCCATCGCCCTGCTGGAGGGGTGTAGCAGCCTGGGCAATGATGCTTTTGTTAAAGAGATTGTGCGTGACTAAAAACACTCAGCATGCTGATGAGAACATTTTCCATGTGAAATATTTTCAGGTATATTTCACATTTCTGTTATTTAGCCTGGGGAATTATTTTCAAGGTAAGCAGTTTGTGTACATGTAGAGAGAGAAGACTGAGTAGCATTAAGTGCTACACACTATATAACATTGAAAGCACAATGTCATACACCCACATTCCTGCCCTGTTTATGACCAGGACATCAGTATTTACACATTGTCTAGACACTGGTACTGGAAGCTATTAGAATTTAGGTTCATGTAGTAACTCTTCCCCCCGATCTCTATTGGATTTGGTATGGTTCCACGAGAAACCCCAGAGCAGCGACAGCTCTTTCTATCAATACATCAAGTTAATTAATGTTAGCTTAATTAGCTAGCTACAGTTTTTAGACTCTAACTGTGTCAGTTATCAATTCAGCCATAAGAAAACGATGACAAGTGCCCAGTTATTCTTCTGTTTATCTCTAAATTAAATCAAAGCTCTGTTTGACAAATAATAATTTTGAATTTTGAGTGGTAAATCTGTCACCATTATCACATACAAATCTAGATCATTTTATTCTTATCAGTTTAAAATTTGGTTCTGTAGACAATGATTCTCAGATCAAGCCTGTCTATTGTTAAACTGGAATAGAGTTATTTAATCTAAGCCATCTAAGTCACTTATCTCATTAGTTAGTATTTAATGTTTGTTGTAAAAAGTTAACTTTCACCTAATCAGTATTTACTGCTGTGTGTGCAGCTTTTTCAAACAGCACCATAAACATCCAGACAGGCTTTCATTGCAGCGTCCCATTTATTACACACAAATCTTCACTTTTTTGTCTTCCATGTCTGCCCTATATTGTCATTATATATACAGAATATATCAATTTTTTTTTTTTTTTACTTTGAAAAGGTGGAGGAGACCCATTTTCCAGTTACAGATCTTGTCTTAAGGTGTTAATTGCTGACTGACCTCTGGAGCTGTGTGGGTTTTTTAATAACCTCTAATCGCAGTGAAACTAAGAGTAGTAACAGAGGAGAGCCAAGATGCTTTTTAACTAAGAATCTTCAATAAGTTGTAATCACATATAAATACAAGTGTCGACTCAAACTGCTTTTTTTGCAAAACATGAGCCGCTGTGATTCATGCTCTTCTGGCATTAAAATGACACATGAAACAAAACATGGTTTTGTTTTGTTTGTGTTAGATTAGGTCAGACGAGTAGAAAAGAGTACGACTGATTTTATTAGTCTTAGATTTTATCTAAAAGCATGTCATCATTGCAGAATGGAAAATAGTTAAAAGAGAATCAACTGTAGAATAATAATGAGTACAGCATGTTTTACTGCAGCCCCACTGTATTATTATTTTCTCACATCTGCCCAGATCATTACAGTTCACATTCCTCACACACTTTCCATACAGTATAGCCCTAAATTTGCTAATTAGATCAGTGGAGTCTTTTCCTTTTTCCATATCCTAATATCTATCAATTGTGTTTTATGTTTCCAGGCAGCCCCCCAGCCACAGGTACCGGCACATTGGTCATCAACCTGGAAGACTACAATGATAACGTCCCCTATGTGGTCCCATCAGTAGCACAAGTATGTGAAGACGCCCATGATATGAATGTGGCCATAGTCGGGGGGCGGGACAGAGACCTCCCACCCAATGGTGCGCCCTTTAAAATAGAACTGGGAAAACAGCCTGGTCTAGACAAGACATGGAAAGTTACCAGGGTAAACTGTGAGTATCTTTTTTTTAAGACATGTGTACGCTCTTAAACTGAATGGCTTTGGACATATTAACGGAGTTTTTAATAATTAAATGTTTCTTTTAGGCTACTGAAAAACATCAGAACTTTGAGCAGTCAAAACATCCTTAATACACTTTTGTGTGGTCAGACTAAATGACAGATACACCATTTATGAAGTACGTGATTTAGTTTTTAGTTTTTTTTCCTTATTGTTATTCTTTTTTATAAGAATATGACTAGAAAAACAGATGTAAAGTAACTAGTGGTGTGTGTATTTCAGCACCACAGAGAGCAGTGAGGGGAGAGAGATCATTTTACTCTGTGCACCCTCCTGTGTGAATATGTACACCTTTGTATTCCTGAGTGTTAAGGATCATACATTAATTACTTATTTATTCTCTGCTTTATCAGTGTGAGAAGGAAAACCAGGTCCCTTCAGTGGTGATGGCAAGAACTGCATGTATGCTGGTATCCTTATTAAAATGAATTAGTGCCGAATCACCCTTATGCATGAATCATCAATAAAAATCAATAACAGCCTAAATTTATGTGTGATCCACCATGATAAAAATACAGAAAAATGTAAATGGCCTATAATGCTAAATTATATATTGTCAATATTTTAGACCAAGACCTCCCAGAATTTTGCAAATCTTCTTTTCATGGGAACCCGTATGTTATTATGGGGAGTCGAGCTCCCCCTAGATGCCCTGTAGTTTGCACCATGCCCTCACTATTTTTATTTTTACCAAGACCTTTCAGCTTGTTTTCACCGATTTGCCAGAAATCACCCTGGCAAACGTAGGAATAAAAATATGAATGAAGGAAGAGAAGGTTTGAGAAGGCTGATAGAAAGCCACCAAAGAATATCAAAGGTCCATTCACTGGGGTTTTATGTCCTGTGTCGGTGTTAATGAGTCCATACAGAGCAGAGAAGTCTTAACTGCAGATGTGCTCATGGATCACTTGATAATTATAAGGAAAACATGATACATGGTGTGAGAATAGACAGACAACCAAGGTACTGATTCAGGGTTGTATGACCAGCAGTGGTGTCTGTGTGTGTTTGAGTGACAGAGCAGAGCTAAAACTTGCCCAGAGGTATCAGCTGTGACTGATAGAGGGATAGGGAGATACAGACACTCCTCAATCACCAGTGCCCAAAAACATAGACAAGGCCAGCAGAGAAAGAGACTGCTCCCAGTGAAGTGGGCAGACAGTGAGCTTGTCTCAGCTCTGTGTGCACATACAGTAGTGTGCACAAATCATAGGCCACCATTAGTTTAGCTGTTTTAGTAAGGTTGTAATGATCAGCTTATATTTATTTTTCAGTCTCTTTATTAAGTTTCACTTTCAGAACAAAATGGCTTCTACAGTCCAAAGTCAATATTTAGTGTGACCTCCCTTTGCATTGAGTACAGCTTGAACTCTTTTGGGGAGACAGTCTTGAAGTCTTGAAACCATGACAGACCCTCCAGTACATTTTACTGAAGGCTGCTACACCCTTTCTTACTCTCTCTCCAATTGTTTCTCACACATAGTGTTGACAATTGCACCTGAACATTTCAAACTTCCATTCATCGCTCCAAGAGCATCTTGTCCACTGATCTTTGCGAGCTTTGGCATTGTGGCTCAGTCTTTTCTCCCTGTCCCCTTCTGAAAAAGTGGCTTCTTGGCTGCTGTCCTTCCACAAAGGCCATTCATGATCAAACTTATTTAGACTGTGGAAGGATCAACTTGGCATCCAGATGAAGCTGCCAGATGCTGAGCCAGTTGTTTTGGTCTTCCTCTCCTGTTTTTGCCCTTAACCTCTCCAGATTCTTCATATTTCTTTAGAACAACTTGAATACCACACCTTCAGTGTACAGTTTGTTTGTTGACTTTTTTTTCTGACATTTTTGTGTTTTTAATACTGTGTACATATTGTCTAATTGTATTCTGATAAATAAATATAGTCTTCATAGCACTGCTAAAACAACAAATCCAATATTGGCCTAAAATCTTTGCAGAGTACTGTATGTGTGGAACCAGAGGTAGAAGGTGGTGCAATTCCTCCAGAGTATAATATAGTTCTGTGTAAAATAAAAAAGATGTTTGCATGCCCCCACATGCAGCTACTGGTCTTACACTGCCTGATGGTTCTGACAGTCAGCTGTTTGTTGATTTGTGTGATTTAATGTGATCTACTGACTCAGGACAATAGTTAGATGGTGTAGTGTACAGAGAAAACATT